AACTTCCATTCATTTTTTCTTTCGTCTGATAAAATATTCCAAGAAAATGGGGAAGGGCTGAGCCTAAAGTTGGCCCCGCCATAGCATTTTTGGAGAAAAACAAGGGTTAAACAAAAAACTAAGTTGAAAATATTAACACCACAGTTCAGCACACTGAAAGTTGCATTGATTTTTGGTTTTGTTTGATAAAATAATCCAAACAACCGGGGCGCTAAGCGTCAAGTTGCCCCTCTCTCAAATTTTTGTGTATAGCATTTGGTGCAACTCAGCACAGTTCCTCTATTAGTAGCACAGTCAAGCACACTGGGAGCACAAATAATTATCACCAAAAAAAATTGGAAATTTAGTAGGCGGGGCTAACTTGACGAAGTTATGTAAATTCCTGTTTATCCAAATCATCAATGTAAATCCTGATTATTGGCGCTCGGATCGTAAACAATTCCGCCGGCTTCTCCGCACCAATACGTAATTTCGTACAATATGTGCCTGCATGTGCTATTTTTTTTCTCTCTTACATTTGTTAGTAATCCTTATCTCATCTTCCCTCGCCTACTTTAAACTAAGTTCCTAAGTAAAACCATTTGATAAGCTTATTCTGCAAGAATAAATAAAACATAATTCCACTACCTAGATGTATAGTTTTTGGAAGCGCCTTAAAATTTTGAAATGTAATTAAGTATGAAAGTTTAAAAAGTAGAGTTTATGATTGAGATTTTCTCCTAGAGTGCAAAATGTATAAATAAGTTCTCTGATATTAATTTGTTACCACGTTATTATGATGAAATGTCCCTTCGAAATGTTGGTCGATAACTATCCTTTGGTATTTCGTTTTTTTTTGTCGGAGCTAATAAATTTCTGTTTCATTTATGAACATTCTGTCGAATTCTGGTTTTATTTATCGGGGAAAATTCGATGTTGTTTGTTTTTTCCATGTTTAACGAAAGTTTGAAAGTCTCTAACCAATTTTTGACAGAGTTAAATCCCCTGATAACTTTTTTTTTGGTTTCTGCGTAGGTATACGAGATTGCTTCTCCCTTGAGTTTTGTATGTAAACGTGATTTTATGTGGGTTATAAACAAAATCCAGTCCATTGTGGTCTCTTGAGGAACTCCTTTTTTTTTCTTATCTCCAATAGTGTTTTTTTATATAGCAGTATCTTGGCATCGGTTTCAAAGATAGCTCTTAAAATTAACCAAGCCTTTTGGTAGTCGCAAATACCTTGTATACTCTTTACATTTTGGAGTCGTGGGATATTATATACGCTTGGTACATTTTTCTGGATGCGCATGCTTCTCAAATGGTCAGTCCTGCTTTTCATCCTTCCATACATACCTACCGCTCGCTTGTTCTGCACGTTCATAAAAGCTGAACTTCTGCATTCTGCCATGATTCAGTTATTTTGCCTTCCTCCAGACATTTATATAGTAGTTGCAGTTTTTCAGTCGTTTAAACACTGTTTTCACTTCTGGCATATCTGCTGAGCCTGAGCCTTCTTCTTGTCTGTGTAGGCGGGATTTACTTAACACCAGAGTCTTCGGTTTCAGTAGAAGATTTCCCTGATGGTCGTTATTTCGCGTCGTTACTTTTTAGTTTTTATTTCTTGTTTCTATGTAATTCTATTTTAGATACTTTATAAATTTCAGAGCACTCTGTCTCTCACTTATAAATACTTCCCTAATTGTGTTTGTGAGAGTAACCTAAATAAATACCCGGAGGCGGATTAAGACACTGGTGGGCCCGGTGCTAATTAATTTTTTGGGGCCCCTATTTTTTCAGATAATGAAAGGAATGAGAAAAAAAAATCATCATCAATCATCAATCATTATACTTACACCAACAATATAATACATAAATTTGGCTTTCGCAGGGATTCACGCACGATAATCACCTAACCCAGGACTACTGATGATTATGCTGCCAAAGAAAGGTGCGTCTTTCCCATATACCTATCATACTAACGCAAGGTTGTTTGAGAGAGGTGTAGGTTGCCTGGGCTGGGACTCTGTAACAATTAGAGATATTTTCTCTATCTCTATTGACGTCTTCTCTCTATTGATTTCGACAAGAGAGAAGAGACAGCAAGTGCCATACCGATAGGGATAACGATCTCTATCCGTTACAGAGTTCCAGCCCTGGATAACTTTATGACGTCATCTGGGGTGCCTCAACATAATGCAAACAACCTGTTAACTTTAGGAACCCACAAAACATTAGGAACCTTCATACTGACGTATACCGCGAGTAGTTTCGAACTGGTGAAGCAAACAATATGAGATGAAAGTACGCCATCTTTGTCGAGGGAGAATTTTGTTTTCTAATGCGCATGCGTTAATATGAGATTATTCCACCAATAAGCATCAATTTTAAGCAGCTGATATTGGCTGTTTTCGATTCGCTTTGGTTCGTCTTCAAGGTCAACCAAATTAGAACCAATCATTTTCGATTGCAAACCGGTGACGTGACAGGCATCGCTTGGTCCGTCTAAATTCAATCCAGCTTCGGTTGGTTCAAATTTTGGTTTGAATTTTGGTTTGCTTTTATAACCTTAAAGTGTAACGATTTTTTTTAATCAGTTCTCATTTTCCCTACTTTGGTGATTTTACGTCCCCAAAATAATGATTGGTTATGGATAGATTTTAGAATAGGTTTTCCAAGTAATTATAGATTAAGAATAATTGCCCTTGTTTGTTCCTACAGCCCTCATAATTATTAAATTACGGCTGGAATGTTTAAAAATTAAATTTGTGCCTATATTTTTAAAATTATAAATACGATTTTTAAATATTGCTAATTTAAATATCGACAACGACGTCGCGAAACACGGTAAATGGTAAAAAAAAAAGGAAACTTTATCCGCATTCCTACGCTGTAGGCTGGTTCAAGTTTACTCGGAAGGTATGAAATCATCCCATTCTTTATTAAAGTCATCATCTCGACAGAGATAGCTATATAAAACCAGTGATTTAGGACAATGTTGAGTCGTCTTGAATTTGAGAATTTTCAATTTAAGGCAGAGAACATTCAGCTATCGACAAAGCATGACTGTGCTATAAGTATCTTCTAAATTCCAAAAAAAAAAGGTGTCACTGCAACTAAAAGAAAGTTTCGGAAAGGCGATAATTTAAATGTCAAAGCCACCGAAAAAGTTAGCTTCGTGAAATGACGCTTTAGTTAAATAATAGCACGTAATTTTTTTGTGCCATGATGTCTTTTACTGGTGAGTCCAATTTTCTATGACCTTTGCCTTTAATTTTGTATGCACTTAAAATCAATTTTTGTGCATATTTCTAAATTCAGTTTCATAAGTAAAGTAAATGTTCTAAGACCAGCATGACCCTTTCAGGCCTTTCTGACCGATACCAAAAAAAAAAACCAAGAAACCTGCAAGGTCCCCTTGATTTGACCTTTTCAATGACAATCAGCAGGCAGCCATATTGTGGACACCATTTTGGATGTCGTCACAGTTGACGCTCTGTTCGTTCCTGTCAATCCTGTCAATATGTATACGTCAATTTTGAGGCACTATGAGACTCATCTTTAAATAGAAGGAAGCAGCCTACGACATGGAGTTTACCAGATAAGATCTTTCCATAATTTTTTTTTTAAACAACTTTCTTTTTCATAATTTTTTTATAATAATTCATAATTGTTTTAATGGGTACTTTTAGACCGACGGATAAACCATTAACTCTCTTTTGGATACATAATTAATTATGTATTTTCGTCGTCCTTTTTAGAGTGAATGCGCATTTACCCCTTGGAGGCTCGATTCCCAATTTTTCAAAATTCTAATTATTTTTTTTTATCTTTAAAGTTTTTCTGGTCTCAGGTCCCCAGATCGTTGTACAGGAAGTTTATTATTTTTTTGTGTTTATACAAAGGTCTGCATTTGGATGCTAAATTTCTAATAATTACTACCATATTTCATTATTACTTTTCAATTTCATACATTTTTGTTTGTCTGTTGTGACTCATAACGAAAAACAACCAGCTGTGATTAACAAACAAGGATATTAATATTATTATTATTATTATACTAGTAAATAGGATAGATTTATTAATTGTTATATTATTCAATTTTTATTAATAATTATTTTTTTTTAACGTTAAAGGAATTTTGTTTTTTTTGAAATCATCACTGTTTCATTTCATGGATATTTGAATTCACTCTTAATCTTTATTTAATGAATAACACGGGGTTCATTAAAGATATATATTTTTTTTTTGATTTAGTCATTCATAAAAGAACTGGAATAAAAAACCTGTGTTGGCGCCCATAGGCAAATTAAAAATCCACTTTCTTTTTTTTTTGAGTTATTTTTGAGGATAAGAACCACGACCTCAGTCACCACTGAGCAGCTGACAGGCGTACTTGGTTTGTAAAGAAAACTGTTACAAATTAAATTGCGCCCAACTTCGGGGCATCTCGATTTTTTTTTGCTTATAAATTTTTTAAGTAATAACTTTGATGATTTCAAATTTGGTTTGATATCCTTGTTTGGTGATGGCAAAATAAAAGTAAAACGTTTGCTTAAATAATTTTTGTTCCTGTAGGTTTTTTTGGCAGGAAAGTATTATACATAGACGGTTGGAAAGTATTTGAAAATTTTATTATCAATTTTTAAATTTTTTTTCAAGTTTGGATTTTCAGCAATTTAAAAGCTGAAAGGTTGAAGCAATATACATTTCAACAATTTTTTTTCGTATGTATTGTAGCCAGTAAAAGACGGTGGTATCCAATATCATTCAATTTTTTTATACACCTTTGGTGGTGTTTATGATTTTTCTGATGGTCTTGATTGAGTATATTTGAACCAGCCTATTTTGCGCGTTAAGTTAATTTTTCGTGGCGTGCACAATTTTTGAATTAATTTATTTTGGTTTTTTTCTTGAAGCTCGTGTCTTGAGATTTTTTTTTGAAGAGTCTTTTGAAAAGAAAAAGAATAATATTTGAATCAACTTTGATTTTTTTTTAAATTGTAAAATAAATTTAAATTAAAATGGAAATTCGCGATGTCGAGTTTATGAAACCCACTCACCTCACTCAACCGGAGTTGAATTATGAATTAAGAATTCGGGGAGTTGTGGCGGCTAGACTGGATGCCAGTGCTAAACGTAAAATGTTAAGACGTAGAATGGACGCGGATCGGAATCGTGATGTACTGTACGTTGACCCTGATTACGATTTTCAAAACGAAAAAGAGATTATTACGGAAACTTTAGAAATTTTAGAGGGCCTTATCGCGGAATTCGAGGGACCGCAAACCGACTCTTCTTTTCAAAGGATACGATCTCGTTTAATTTACATTTCCAATCGCATTTGTAGATTGACAATTCCCGTGGTTGATGTCGATGCGGAGGTCACTCACGCTAAACAAGATTTCTATGCTAAATATTTGGAGTTGGAGGCCAATCTTTTTGAAAAAGCCGAAAACCATCAACAACAAAATGGACTTCTCAACCAAACTCTGAATAAAACTGTTATTCCTAACACACCCCCTATCATTACACCCGTAATTACGCATAATAAATCTGTCCCCGTCTATCAATGGAATTTAAAGTATCGTGGTGAGACCGACTATCGAACAGTGTTGTCATTTTTGCAGAAAGTTGAAGAATATTGTAAAACCCGTCATGTTTCTAAAGTTGAGTTATTTGAGAGCGCTGCTGAATTGTTTGTTGATAAAGCCTATAGATGGTATCAATCAGTCCTTGAAAGAGTTAACGATTGGGATTCTTTAGTCAAACTTTTGAAACAGGATTTTTTGCCTGACGACTTAGACGAAATAATTTGGGAGGATATAAGAAATAGATTTCAGGGTAGAAATGAGCCAATTCATCTTTTTGTTGCCGAGATGGAGTCTTTATTTAGGAACTTAGAGCGACAGTTACCGGAAGTAACTAAATTAAAATATCTGAAAAGGAACATTTCGCCTCTTTATAAAACACAGTTAGCCTTGGTTGAAATAGATACAATTAATAGTTTAATTGAACTTTGTAGGAAAATCGATAGCGCACATAGTACTAAACGAAATCAAAATGCGCGCGTATCTTGTATAGATTCGGATTCAAATAATATTTCAAATGAACCATCCACTTCCAGTTTACATTCTATGCAAGGTAATAGTTCAGGTCCGCAAAATAATTCCAGAAACAACCGTCCTAATTCCCGTGGCAGATTTAATAGTTCTCGTGGCAATAGTCGCAGTAATTTTCGCAGCAATATTCGCGGTAATTTGAGTGGTAGAAATTCATACCGGTTTAATAACTCTGACTCTTCTGAGACCGATACTTTCCAGAGAAACTTCAATCGAAACAATTCACAAATCCCTGAAAATAATGTAGCATCAATTAATAATTCAAATCCAAGTAGCAGTTCTAATTTGAATAATCAATCCTCTCGTAATCTTTCTACGATCATTTGTTGGAATTGCGGGTTAGAAAACCATGTTTTTGGTGACTGCAAAGCAAAAAGGAAAAAGTTTTGTTACAAATGCGGAAAACCAAACGTCATTTCTCGTGAGTGTAATTGCGTTCCAAAAAACTAAATTCTAGGACGTTTGTCCGCGGCCAGCAGACGTCTTGTTCCTCTATGGCCAATAGTAACAATTTCTTCAACCAAAAGGATTGGGATTCTTGGAAAAAGGTTGTAGCCGATTTTTGTAATGGAGCCCGCTTTCCCGTTTCTGTTGTCGAACAAATACCTCCCAAGATTGTTTCTGATCTCAGCTCTAAGCAGACTACGGCTTCTTTAGCTCCTTTGATTGTCAATAAACCTTTCGACAATCGTCCATATATTGAAATAAAAATTTTTGATGTTTCCGTTAAAGCATTACTGGATAGTGGCGCTAGTCAAAGCGTTCTAGGTGAAAAAGGTCTAGACATAATTCCCAGATTCGATCTTAAATTAGATAAGTGCGGCGATAATTTTGTGTATACTGCTAGTGGTCAAGCTCAAGATGTTTTGGGAGTTATTTATGTACCAGTTTGTGCAGACAATTTGTGCAAGATAATTGAAGTTTTAGTTGTGCCTTCTTTATCGCATGGTTTAATCCTGGGTAGTGACTTCTGCAAAAACTTCAATGTAAAAATAAACTTCGAGGAAAATTCTTGGACAGTTGGTAATGTGGACACTTCAGTAAATAATTTTATTTTTTCAATTTCTTCCGAAGATAAGGAAACCTCTGCGCCAGGTCATACATTTTCAATTAGCCAGTTAGAGGAAAATGAACAAGTTAGGTTAGCATATGAAGCAATAAGCTGTAAAGACAAGTTAGGTCGTACAAACAAAATGACATTCTATATAGACACTGGCGACTCTAAGCCCTTCCGAGAACGTCAATATCCTATGTCACCTTTTATGATGAATATCCTAAACAAGGAATTAGACGAAATGTTAGCTTTGAAAGTTGTGGAACCTTCACATAGTGAATATAATTCACCAGTTCTTTTAGTCAAGAAGTCCAACAACGAATATAGATTCTGTTTTGACGGTCGCTCTTTGAATAAGCAAACAAAACACGATGCATACCCTTTACCTCGTGTTGACACAATCCTAAATACGTTGCGTGATGCTCGTTTTATCTCGTCCATCGACCTGAGAAAGGCTTTTTGGCAGATTCCCTTACACCCTGATTGTAAAGAAAAAACAGCTTTTTCAGTTCCCGGTCGAGGATTATTTCATTTTAATGTTGTTCCGTTTGGCTTGCGCAATTCTGCTCAATGTCAGCAACGTCTGATGGATTTGGTTCTCACTCCAAAATTGGCTCCAAGAGTTTTTTGCTATTTGGATGATATAATAGTTACATCTTCAACTTATTCTGAGCATATTTCTTTGTTGTATGAAGTTCTAGAACGTCTTAAGGACGCCAATTTGACCGTTAATTTGGAGAAATGTCAGTTGTTTAAATCTTCATTGAAATATCTAGGGTATGTGGTTGATTCAGAGGGACTGCGCACAGATGGTGATAAGGCTAGTGCAATTGTAAATTTTTCTCAATGTAGAACAACTACAGAAGTTAAGCGTTTCGTTGGAATGGCGTCTTGGTACAGGAAGTTTATTAATCAGTTCTCCACTCTTGTGTCGCCTCTGAACGATTTGTTGAAAGGTAGGAAAAAGGGCCAATCTATCAAGTGGACCTCTGAGGCTGATGCTGCTTTTATGAAAATCAAGGAAGCTTTGGTATCTGCTCCTATATTGTGCAGTCCAGATTTTGATCGTCCTTTCATTATACAGTGCGATGCTTCGGCTACTGGTTTGGGTGGTGTACTTATACAGGAGGTGGATAATAACGAAAGAGTTATTGCATACGCTAGCCGATCTTTGTCTCGTACAGAACGCAACTATACGGTAACAGAACGCGAATGTCTTGCAGTAATATTTTCTTTGTCGAAATTTAGACCTTATATAGAAGGTACGCCGAATCTTAAAATCATAACTGATCATTATTCACTTCTGTGGTTGAACAGCATGAAAGAACCTACTGGAAAATTAGCCAGATGGGCCGTCCAGCTTCAACAATACGATTATACTCTTGTTCACCGTAAGGGCACTCTAAATGTTGTCCCAGATTTTTTATCTCGAATGCCTCCTGGGGATGAATCAGCTGATTCTCCTGTAAATGCTTTTGTTTCGGTTGTTTCTGATTTAAATCCTCAAAATTTAGATATTCATTTAGAAAACCTTGATCCCTTTTACCTGAAAATGAGACAAGATATTTTGACAGACCCAGAAAAATTTCCAAATTGGTGCGTTAGAGGTAACTTTGTCTACAAGCATATTCCATTAAAAACTAAGTATAGATCCAACCTGACGCCTTGGAAGCTTTTGGTTCCTAAATCTCAAGTCCAAAAGATAATTGAAAAACATCGCGATCCAATTGTTTCTGGTCATTTTGGATTTTTCAAAACAATCAACAGGATCCAAGTTAATTATTTTTGGAAAGAGATGCGTAGTGACGTTGCTAAGTATATTCGATCATGCTTGGTTTGTGGCGAGCAAAAAGCCTCTAATGAAGCTAGGATGGGCTTGATGGGTTCTGAAAAAACGTGTAATTTCCCGTTTCAAATTATCGCAGTTGATATAGTAGGTCCATTTCCTCGCAGCCGTTTGGGACATACTCATTTGTTAGTAGTAGGGGATTGGTTTTCGAAATATACTTTGTTATGTCCTCTTAAGAAGGCTGACGCTGGAAGAATTTGTAAATTTTTGGAAAACGATGTATTTTTGCTGTATGGAGTTCCTCAATTTATTATTTGCGATAACGGTTCCCAGTTTGCTGGAAGGGTATTTAAAAGTTTAGCAGATAAGTTTGAAGTTCAAAAAATTTGGTTCAATGCTCGTTACCACCCGCAAACAAATTTTGTTGAGCGATCCAATAGAGTTGTAGGTACCGCTTTGCGTAGTTACATTAAGGAGCATACTGATTGGGACCAGCATCTCACAGAGATTCGTTTTTCTATAAACTCAGCTGTGCATGAAGTTACAAATTTTAGCCCCAATTTTATGAATTTTGGTCGACACATTCCCATTTCTGGAAAATATTATGGCGAGATCAGAAATACCGAGGGTATTAAATTATTGTCCAGGAACCGTGAGGAATTTGGTGAAGGTCTGAAGGGTCTCTCTGAAATCTACGAGATTGTCGAGAAAAAACTTCACCAAGCTTATGAAAGATGTAGACGTCATTATAATTTGAGAAAGCGTGACGTCCAATTTAGTGTCGGAGACAAAGTATGGAGACGAAACAAGGTGCTGTCTGACGCATCAAACCGATTCACTGCTAAGTTAGCAAAAAAATATGTTCTATGCAGGATTTCTAAAAAGATTTCCCGGATTATTTACCGGCTAGTTCATAATGATGGTTCAGATGCAGGCGAATGGCATATCAAAGATTTGAAACCTTATTTGGGTTCAAATTCAGATGTTTCTGTGGGTTCTGACGTTTAGGTATGGTTTGTGAGATTTTGTAAATTTAATTGTCTCATTTAGTCTAAGCTCACGTTTGATTGTAGTTGTGGAGAAATGTCTTCCTGTTGAATCAAAGCTTTGTAATTTTCAGTCCTCGAATAGCTATTCTAGAATAATTTTGCCCTTAAGATGGATCGATCCTATATATTTTTTTTTGCCCTTGTTGTTTTTTTTTAAATTAGTATTTAGCTTTAGTTTGATATTCCCTGTGAAATACCTCCTTGAGAATCTTTATAGACTTGTCCTACCAAATATGCATTTTCACCTGATATAGACATACCGATTTTGTCCTTCTCAATTTTGACTCCAATTTATTGGCGGATGATACCCGATAGATATCAGATTTCTATAAAGATTAATTATTCCTCAGTAAGTTGTAAAGGATAGCCCACAAATAAAATTCGTGTTGCCCCAAATTTTATTCTTTTAGGAGAGGGGTGGTGTAACGATTTTTTTTAATCAGTTCTCATTTTCCCTACTTTGGTGATTTTACGTCCCCAAAATAATGATTGGTTATGGATAGATTTTAGAATAGGTTTTCCAAGTAATTATAGATTAAGAATAATTGCCCTTGTTTGTTCCTACAGCCCTCATAATTATTAAATTACGGCTGGAATGTTTAAAAATTAAATTTGTGCCTATATTTTTAAAATTATAAATACGATTTTTAAATATTGCTAATTTAAATATCGACAACGACGTCGCGAAACACGGTAAATGGTAAAAAAAAAAAAAGGAAACTTTATCCGCATTCCTACGCTGTAGCGTTCAAGTTTACTCGGAAGGTATGAAATCATCCCATTCTTTATTAAAGTCATCATCTCGACAGAGATAGCTATATAAAACCAGTGATTTAGGACAATGTTGAGTCGTCTTGAATTTGAGAATTTTCAATTTAAGGCAGAGAACATTCAGCTATCGACAAAGCATGACTGTGCTATAAGTATCTTCTAAATTCCAAAAAAAAAAGGTGTCACTGCAACTAAAAGAAAGTTTCGGAAAGGCGATAATTTAAATGTCAAAGCCACCGAAAAAGTTAGCTTCGTGAAATGACGCTTTAGTTAAATAATAGCACGTAATTTTTTTGTGCCATGATGTCTTTTACTGGTGAGTCCAATTTTCTATGACCTTTGCCTTTAATTTTGTTTGCACTTAAAATCAATTTTTGTGCATATTTCTAAATTCAGTTTCATAAGTAAAGTAAATGTTCTAAGACCAGCATGACCCTTTCAGGCCTTTCTGACCGATACCAAAAAAAAAACCAAGAAACCTGCAAGGTCCCCTTGATTTGACCTTTTCAATGACAATCAGCAGGCAGCCATATTGTGGACACCATTTTGGATGTCGTCACAGTTGACGCTCTGTTCGTTCCTGTCAATCCTGTCAATATGTATACGTCAATTTTGAGGCACTATGAGACTCATCTTTAAATAGAAGGAAGCAGCCTACGACATGGAGTTTACCAGATAAGATCTTTCCATAATTTTTTTTTTAAACAACTTTCTTTTTCATAATTTTTTTATAATAATTCATAATTGTTTTAATGGGTACTTTTAGACCGACGGATAAACCATTAACTCTCTTTTGGATACATAATTAATTATGTATTTTCGTCGTCCTTTTTAGAGTGAATGCGCATTTACCCCTTGGAGGCTCGATTCCCAATTTTTCAAAATTCTAATTATTTTTTTTTATCTTTAAAGTTTTTCTGGTCTCAGGTCCCCAGATCGTTGTACAGGAAGTTTATTATTTTTTTGTGTTTATACAAAGGTCTGCACTTGGATGCTAAATTTCTAATAATTACTACCATATTTCATTATTACTTTTCAATTTCATACATTTTTGTTTGTCTGTTGTAACTCATAACGAAAAACAACCAGCTGTGATTAACAAACAAGGATATTAATATTATTATTATTATTATACTAGTAAATAGGATAGATTTATTAATTGTTATATTATTCAATTTTTATTAATAATTATTTTTTTTTAACGTTAAAGGAATTTTGTTTTTTTTGAAATCATCACTGTTTCATTTCATGGATATTTGAATTCACTCTTAATCTTTATTTAATGAATAACACGGGGTTCATTAAAGATATATATTTTTTTTTTGATTTAGTCATTCATAAAAGAACTGGAATAAAAAACCTGTGTTGGCGCCCATAGGCAAATTAAAAATCCACTTTCTTTTTTTTTTTGAGTTATTTTTGAGGATAAGAACCACGACCTCAGTCACCACTGAGCAGCTGACAGGCGTACTTGGTTTGTAAAGAAAACTGTTACAAAAGTATGATGCATTTTTTGACAGACCAAATTCAAAAGCTGTCAACCAACTTCTGTCATATCCGAACCAACCAAGGCCGAACCTGATTGCGAATCGAAAACGGCCATTGCTGGGTTGACTGTCAAAGAAATTAAATAAAGAAATCACCAGAGAAACACAGCAACTCCAAATGACGCATGATATCCTAAACTTGATGTGACAACGTTGCCAAGAAGTATGTTACAAAATGCCAACCGTCGGCCAATAAGAATCTAGCATTTAACGCATGCGCAGTTCATGACCTAGTTCTACTTTGTTTGGCAAAGACAGACTTATGCGAGATCATATACCTCTATTTCTCTTTCTTTGCTTCAAAATCCGCACATCAGGTAAATAGGAAAGACGTGATATATGTCAGTATAATAGGCATGTATATGGTCTTTCCTATATTTAATATTACAGTGACTAAATAAATCTTTACATACAGTAGCGACAATAGAGGTTCCGCCGCCATTTTGGGGCTTACCTCTTGCTAATTTTTAAAAAGGAATATAGAGGATTTATGGGTTAACGATTAGTATTCCTCAAAGTGACATTTCTCCATGTAAAAATATCATGTTAAGGGCCAGTTTTACAAACAGCGGTAACCACAAGACACTTGTAACCCACAATATATCTGGTTTCCTGGTTTGAAAGTGTGTCGTTGAGCCAAAACCATTGGTCAAAGTTCAGGTTATTTAACTCAATTCTTATTTTGCGAACTTGTGGTTAAACCGCAACTATTAGGCCCAGTTTTACAATTGGTGAAACCTCCAGTGGTTATTAAACTAATAGTTGCGGGTTGACCAGAAGTTTGCAAAATAAGACTTGAGTTAAATATTCTGTAGCTCGACCCAATGGTTTTGGCTAAACCATATATTATGAAACAGATATATCTATCGTTGGGTACCAGTGTGTTGTAGTTACCGTTGGGTTACCGCTGTTTGTGAAACTGGGCCTCAGGAATACTTATTGCTAAGGCTTCCTTAAAATGGTCGGTGTAAACGGCCATTTGGACATCTATAATAAAAAATTGGAAACATGTATCCGATGACTATAATTACATAGGTACATCAAATACGTTGTTTTCCATTTGTTATCATGGATGTCCATTTAAATCCTATATATTCATATTTAAAATTAGCAAGAGGTAAGCCCCAAAATGGCGGCGTTTTCCATATGAATATATCGGATTTTAAAGAACCAATCAAAAATGAGACGGCGCCATATGTTGTGATTCAATATGGCAACATACAACATAGTTATAGACTGATGGTTTATAATCTTGTCAAGCCAGCTTTTGGTGGAATTTTGGCAATGTTTGTTGTACATTTAAGTTTAAATTTTTTTGTTTAATGAATCTTCGATCTCGCGAGGGCCCCTTGGAACGTTGGGCCCGGTTCTATAGAACCGGTAGAACCCTCCTTAACCATCGGGCAGGCGCGCATTTGAAAATCACATTAGCAGGCGCGCTGCGGCACTGCGTGCCGCCTGCAGAAAAATGTACGAAATGATTCAAAATATCAAATTTTATTTTTAAATAGAATAAAAAAATTAAGTAAATTGTAATTCTAGGCAACTAAATGAAATCCTTAATACTAATTTCGCAAAAACACAAAAATAATATTCATAATATTTGTACTATTTCCCTTTCAATTTCACTTACATGACCAGGCGCGCTGGCGTTACGGAATGCCGAAAACTCAACACCGGCAAGTTCAAGAACTCACTGACATCTGAACAAGCGCTCTAAGGTCGTAAATTGAGCGTCGTAGGTTTGCTAATATAGTCATTTGAGCATAGCTATACGGACAATATGATAAAATCCAAAATATTTGCGAAATCCTTGAATTAGTAAAAAGGCGGCATAAAAGGCGGATAGCGCGCCTGCCCGAGGGTTAATCCAGGCCTGTAAATACCTAAATGAATAAAATATAATGTTTTTGCTAAACCAAAATGAGGTAGATCGAGATATGCACCAGAATGAGGTAGATTGGGATATGTGGGAATAATTATTATTCTATCATGTTCGAGGAGAACCTATACTTACTATGGTATAAAAGTTGAGGCTGCCGGCCACAGAGGAAATTTTTCATCACCAGACTGTCACTTTTATATTTGAAATTGAATCCGGCATGGCTCGGTTGTGCAATATAAGTATTGCTAATTTCAATACTCCCGCAAAACGGTCGGTGCAAACGGCCATAAGACACAATCTTTTAAGTGGCTCTCACTATAATTTATGATTAAGAGCGATTATGGAGGAAATCTGCTAATCTCTAACGTTAATTAATCTCGGTATTTTTTTTTTTAATGCATGGTTTATGGTTTTATTTTATTATACATTTTATTCTTTTTAGGTAAAAACCGAAATAGAAATTATCGCACAAAAACGAAGTAACTGGCTAGCCTGGGCAGGTTTAGGCCTAATGTCCGTCCAATTTGGAATCCTGGCCCGACTAACCTGGTGGGAATACTCGTGGGATATTATGGAACCCGTAACTTATTTTGTCACTTATGGAACTGCCATGGCTGCGTATGCTTATTTCGTACTCACAAAAGAGGTATTAACTTATTATTAAATCACCCTATTGTCATAATATTGTTGGGATAATTTAGGAATATGTCTTGAATGACGTCAGGAATCGACAACACCTCATAATGATGCACAAAAAAGCGAAAAAGACTGGCGTAGATCTCACTAAGTACAACCAATTGAAAGCGGAAATTTACAAAAGAGAAAATACTTTGAAAAAACTCAGGAATCCTTTGAAATTGCATTTGCCCAAAAACGTAACTGTTTCAAATATTGCTAGCGACGGACAACCGGATAATAACACCATTGAACCTGTTCCTGAAGTGAAAACCCCCTCCGAAGAAAAAGTTATGGGAAATGAGGCTAAGCCTACCCAAGAAAAAATTATTAAGGAAAGTGATGTTAAACAATGATTAGTTCTAAGGGACTTTTTTATATAATTATTATTTTTTTTTTTTTATTAGCTTACTTGTCTTGGCAAAGGATTATTTGACACAAAATACTTCTTTATCAGGCCAATAAGGCTTTGGATTGTTTACGAATACGCTCAATTTAGGTTTAATAGGGTGTGCTGTGCTAATTTTTATGTATTTTTTTCCTATAGTTAGCTTTGTAAATGAAGAAAAACTTATAATATGAAACGACCAAACAATCTATTATATAGCAAAAACAAGTTGCAACAACAAGTAATGTTCGAATTTATCATATATATATAAAAAAAATGGGACTAAGCTTTAGCTTAAGCTGTTTGCTTGTACCTTATTCATTCACACCAATCAGGGATGCGTCGTTTTAATGCCGTATTATTATCCTTGCCTTTAATTTAATAAGTAAGCACATATATAGAATGTTTAATACCCATTTAGAAGTAGGTACCAGTCATTCTGGTGACTAAACGTATGTCGCTTCTTGAAGACACAAATAAAATTAGGCTAGGAATTTCCTATTTGTCATGAAATAGACCGATCTCCTATTACCTGGGGTGCGTTCAAGGACGGCGAAGCTAATGCCAAAACCTACTTTTCCCCCTCCACCTGTAATGCCGAACCACGTAGGTTGGAGCCGAACTCGAACGCAAAATGCCAATTTTGGCTTGGCTGTAGCCATTCCTGAACGCAGCCCTCTGGACTGCGCGCGTCGCTTGTAGGCTGCAGGTGAGCGTCCAATGAGAAGCAGGTTTCTTACAGGCTTACGTCATATTCTTATTCAGGGGCCAGTTCAGAATGAATCGTTCCTTCTTTCTTTGTAATGTGTAATTCGACAAAGAGCAAACTAATACTTTACATATTACTTGAACTCACCGCAGTGTCGTTTAAGGTTATGTTAAATTATACTTGACATACTCCTTTGCAATTTCATTGTGCGATGTTGCCGGATGAAGCATTTATCAAAATAAAAGTGCAAACGATGTTAACATACACTTTTCAAGCGCTTCTTTTGTCTGATTTAAGGCGTTGTAAAACACTTGACACTATATCACTTCTTTAATGTTATAATGTGGGATTTGTATTGTCTACATTTGTTCTGCTACAATACAATCTGGCTACACTGCACCTACGAGTTGCGCGCGCATGTCATCTTTTATTACTTTCTAACTTGTATTTATTACAATTAACCTCTCTTTCTCTATTTATACGAGACAGGTCTATTGACGTATTAGCAATCGACCCTCGTTTTTGTTGGTAATTTTTTGTTTGATTGATAAATAGGGATGGGATGATTCTAAATGGGTATTAAAAATACTATACCATTATGTAGCGAAAAAGCTGTATATCCTATTCACAATCTGTAGTCCAAAGGTAAAGGTAAATTTATCACCTTTCCCTATCAAATAGCACTGAAAGGTGATACATTTTACTTTTACCTTTGGACATTGGATTGTGAATAGATAATATGTACTTAAGTATGGGCTTTTAGAATATTCGACCTGAAAGGTGGATTTTTTTTTGTGGCATTGCTAATTTTCAATAAAAAATAATTGCGCTAGATACAAAATAACACAAGGATTAATAGGTAGTGGGGGAAGATGCGGTTCCTGGGCTGTAATTATCCTATATTATTGTTCACAGTTCCGTTTATCTGTGTTGGTAGGTCATTGGTGTGTTCTCATCTTTTTCAAAGCTACTGGAGAAACTTCAAAAACATTCAAGAACAACTCGGCTTCAGAAATGCCCACTCAACAGCAGACCACCAGCTAACTAGATTTGTTGAAAAAGTCACTCTCAGCATCCAATGCTGCGTCTCAACCTGGGCCGCCTGTTTGGATGTTGAGAGGTCTTTCCTTAGACCGCATCCGGCACGCTGGACTCATAGTCAAACTGCATGATAAATACGATCTTGCCATATCCCACACAAAATTCATCATCAGCTTTCAAAAATCAAGAAAATTTCGAGTCGGAATCAACGGCCACCCTCCAACATCAGGCAAATAAAAGCCCACACACTAAAATATCACTCTGTGCGGACTATGCCTGCATCTTTACCACTTTCAAAAATCCTGCTGTCATACATCGCCGACTACTAACACACCTCAACCAAATTGCTGTCTGAGCTAATCTGTGGAAATTCAAAATAAATGGTGTGAAGACTCAAGCCATCTTAATCTCAAGAAAAACAAATCGGCAAATTGCGTAACTCGCCCTCAACGACTCTCGGATCGAGTGGAGTGATCAGATCAAGTATCTCGGCATCTCGAAATAATATTAATAATACATGAATTAACCCCATATAACTGATAAAATCAACAAACCAAACAGACTGCCCAGCATGCTATATCCCTTGGCTGAACAGGAAATATAGTCTTCACCTTCTCTAAACAAGCTGTTCATTCACAAACAAGTTATCAGTCCATCTTTTCTTCACGGATCAAGTTTGGCTAGCCAGCAATATCAACAACAAAAAACTCGAGGTGTTTCAACAAAATGCTCTGTAGTATGGTTGCTGTGCAGGAGTAAATCCGTAACACGGACCTTCGCAATCCAGGAGTTTCTTGTCAGGACGCATTCCTGGACAACATCACAAACCATGCAAATCCAATCATACAAAATATCCGCTCTTCAAACCCATCCAAACAGAATCCACTGTAGGAATCTGTCCACACCAATAATCAACCCTCAGCTTCCCTCTCCCTTCCCCCCCGAACGAAACCCCAAACGTCAAAAGTCGATACCAGAAACCCCAATAAGCAGTTAGTAGACCTCCACTTACAGTCATTGCGAAAGAGTGCTTTGGCACTGCCGCAAACGGGTGGTTATTTTAGTGATTAAAAATCTCACACTACCTTCTCAATTTGAAGGTTTTAACCATCCATAACAAATTATAATATACCGGGTGTTTCACGAACATCGAAACAGAAGCGTTCTAGGGTATTTCAAGGTCGATTTAAAAAAAAACGCTCAGACACGTCATTACTGCACACCCTGGGTGGGGTGACTTTCACCCTTATTTTTTAGATAGGGAAAATGGGTCAAGTGATACCTTATTTCTTGTTTCAAAGGTATTTTGATTCTCCTCAAGTACGTTTTTTTTTTTTGAAAATCGAATGATTAGTTCTCAAGATATTCACTGTCAAAGTTGCCATGGGCTGAATACAACAATTTTCTGGCCCTGTTATTCGCAAATTAACACTTTCCTGACTTTCCTCTTGGACACCTCAATTTTCATTTTTTCAGAAGCACACAAAAAATTAAACTTGTCAATTGACGTGTCCGAGAGGAAAGTCAGGAAAGTGTTAATTTGAGATTGTTTCTTACACAAATAAAAAACAAATTGGAACTTTGACAGTGAATGAATCAAAATACCTTTGAAACAAGGTACCACTCGATGTTTTTTTTTTATCCACCGTGAAATACCCCGAAACGCCTCTGTTTCGATGTTCGTGAAACACACACATAAGTATAGGCAGTGTGGTTTTAGCGTGCATACCGCGAAAATGAAAATATGTGCACAAAGATCTTTGAGCTTTCCTCGAAGTATTGAGTGGTATTGAGGTGTCCTCAAGATAAATATAGCCTGAATCACAAAGGACTGAAAATTATGATGCACCGATTCAGTGCCACTGCTACTAACAACTAACATAATACGGAACTGTGACGAATTTATTGGTAAGTACCTACCTGATGTGTCTGAATGAGTTTTTATAGTCTAGACTTAGATCAAACGACTTATTTTTTTCTTAATTATGAACTGAACCTAATTTTGGCAAGATTTCTTCATTTCTGTTGCCAATTTTCATTTGGACGGCCAATTTATAGAATAGATGAAAATACTATCCAAATTGTAAATCAATTTATGAAATGGTGGCAATCTGGGAAAACAATACGTTGCTCCCTTTCAGAACAAAACGCTATACCTAGTATCTTCATCTTTAATGAACTTTGTATACCTACTATGGTTTATTTACATTTGTATATTGTACCTACTATTTAAGTAAAACTGCTGGTGCTATATTTTTTCCAACATTATTTATTAGGAACCAATTGTTATCGTTAGTGAATGAATTACTTATTAAAACTTTAAAAAACTTTGCTGTTTGTTCAAATCATCGAGTGAATTGAACATATTTTGCAGAAATTTTATCCTGGAAAATTCAGTTTTTTTCTATGCTGATTAGCAATCGCATTGTTTAACTAAAAAAAGTTGGGTCCTAATTTTTCACCTGGATAGCTCTACTATAGTTGGAGATATAACGCCGACGTTGTATCTGCTTACAGGTGTGGTTTCGATTCACTCTGGGAAAGTTGTGACTACAGAAGCATGGACTCTTTTATATTCTAAAATTTAAATAGCTGATTTAAGCATAACCAGGGACTATTTTGAGTGTATTTTCCAAGAAAAAAACATCTGAGGTTAAATAAGTTTTCTACTGGCCAGACAAGTTTGTTAGTTATTTACCTAACAAATGCGGAAAGTGATACTATACCTCACACAACGACCGAATGACGCGAGAAAAAAATTAATTGTTAATATTTGCCTTATTAAACTGCCTTGCATGATTCTTGAAATCTCCAAATATAATGGTTAACCCAGGCAAATCCAAGGTACTTCTAATCCAGCGTGACGTCTACAGTCAGAGTCTATGCCAATACTGCACCAAGTGTTCTGAATTGGGGAAGAAAGATTCCGGCATTAACCGCAATCTCCACTTTTGAGTACCAGGGTCACCTCTTTGGCCCCACAGGTCCTCTTTGGCCCCACAATTCCAAATCTCCAGAAGTGGCTGAGTAACATCGATCTTAACCAGATCAGCAGACAGAACTGATTCGTACACACCTGATCCCTGATGTCCAAGCTTATGTAGATGTATATAGACTACAGAACACTTGGGTGGAACTCTTACAGACGCTGATCGCATCATCAGGTCGTCTGTTCATCAAGGTGTCGTCGCAGAAGTCCTGCACCAGTCCATACATACCCTTAACAAAACGTTATTAACTTCAATTCGATGTTAGCACTGGGCGATTTACCGGACTGGTGTAAGGCGACCAAAATCGTTCTAACAAGGAAGTAAATATACAGATCTCTTGGCCTCCTCTCACATGTCGGAAGGTGGTCAAAAAGGTAATTCAAGCCTACATCAACGATCCACATCGAGTTGATTATATCTATACGGGCTTGAGGGATAATGTATGGAAATTAAAGTTGGTAGAAAGGCCACCTGGGAAATCCGCTTGAGCTGTGGGATCAGTCAGAGTGAGTTTCCCAATAAACATTTTTGTTTGTATAATAGTCACCGTAAATGTTATATCACCTATCTTAAATAACCTACAGTTATATATTTGGTAACAGAAACCTTTGTTACTCTTATGAACCCTTAAAGAGCTTAAACGGGGCATTTATAAAGGTTGCGAAAACCTTTGTTTAGTAACGCTATATAAATTTAGGTCATGTAACCTAGACTAACAGAAATATTGTGGTAACCTTTATATAACTTACTAAATAACTCAAATATGTCACTTGTCAGTTATAAAAAAAACGAAGGTTTATTTCTCTCTCTATCGAACATATTTTATATACAATGATATGGCCTTTTTCTACTTCTGAAATATTATCAGTCAGTACCCAAGTAGCACTCCCATGTTGGGCCAATATTGGGACAATAACTACGATTTATTGGCCCAAGTCAGATTCTCTATGTTGGCCCAATAAAAGATGTGGACATTCTGCTATATTTGTCCAAGAACGTATGTCAATATATACCCAAAAACAAATACCAACGTTGGTACAATAACGTAACCAAATGTTGGCCCAAAAAGAAATAATCAATATCATATCAAGAACTTTATGCAATATAGAGCCAATTGAAATTACCAATATTGGCCCGGAGACGTATGTAAATCTTGGCTTTATATTATATTTAATTAAGGTAACGGACCAATTATAAGGACCGACTAAGAAGTGTTTTCTCTTTGCCGGACCATCCGTGGACCCGTTTCGCTGTATCACAAGTCATCAGCATGGTTAAGTCCCGCCAGGGTCCCGCAGAGAGAAAACAACCAATTTTTGGCTTCATCCTGGAACCAGGTTTAAGACAGGTAAAGTGAAGACAGAGTCTCCATCTATTTTTTGGTCGGCACAGCAAGTGCGCACATTGAATACCCTATATTGGACCAACATTTTCAATTCAGAAAATCTAACCTTGGTAAAAATTAGTATGTAAATATTGGCCCTTCATTGGGCTTTTCAAAAAGTATCAATATTGCGAAAAAATTGGAAATAAATATTGGGTGTACAAAGTTTTTGAAGTGAATTTAAATATCAATAAAAAATTGAATGCCAATATTGAATTAATATTATATTACAATATTGTTTCAATAATATAAAATGTAATATTTGGCCAATATTTCATAAATCAATATTGTAGTGAGAAGTCTTGGGCCAATATTCAAATTACTGAAGAGTTAATTAATCTATGAAAACAATATTGGTACAAGATTATTTTTAAATATTGTTTCCACATAGTTAAAACTAACGTTGCCCCAATATTGTGTTGATTTAGCAACAAAAATAAATAAATATTGGCCCAACTGCAAAACGATGTTTACCCCATATTATGTGCTACTTGGGTAGTTAGAGGATTGAACTTAGAAAATGAAAATGGAGAGCGAATTATAAAATACGGCTTGGTTTGTTTTGTTAAATTAATTTTAGGCTCTTCCTAGACTAAAAATGTAGGTGGGAACGATTTTTCACAGTAAATATTGATGAAGTACTTCGAAAAAACGCAGGGGCCCTTAAAATACCCAATTATAATCAATTTCATGTCAGGTTTTCAAAAAATATACGTAGGTAGGTATGTTTGTTTTTTTATTTGCGACGAATTAATGACCAACGAAATTTTTATAAGCCACCATTTGACAAGTATGGGTTAATTTCATATTAATTGTTGATAAAATAAGTTCAATATTGGATTTTCACAAAGTAATTCGGTAATATTGATCTTGGCAAAACAATCATGGCGAAATCAATGAAGTAACGATATAAATATTGGAAAGCTTTGTTTTGTGTTCTGCCAGTTTTTTAAATAATCCATGATTAATAATAATAATAAATAAAAACCCTGTTACAATATATTTGTTTACTAGAGGAAGGCGGAAGAATGAGATACTAAAAAATAAGGTTATGATGTTAAGCCCAGACATTGTTTACTAAAGTTTGCGAAGTTTTATAGGAGAAGCCTAATATAATTGATCTCACCAAGAGTTTTATAACAAAGTTAGACCATTACTACAATTTACCAGTTTCTATAAGAGTGATTAATCACACTTCTATATAACTACGGGTATTTTAGTTATATAGATAAGGTAATGGCAAACCTTATATAAATTTGTTATAAACACATTGGTAACGGTTACTAAAAGTTTTATAAAATGGTGATGGAGACAGTTATATCACCTTATTATATACTTGTAATTTACAGTAATCATATAAAACCGTTATATAAATACATCAACAAAAGTTAAGACGGATTATAAAAAACTACGAGACTTTCGTATATACTTCTATTACCTTTATATAACCAGTATAAAACTTGGTGTTACTATAAGTTGCGAAAAATGTTTATTGGGGTAGAAGCCCCATGCTATACGGTATGGTGAGTGATAGACAACTGGGGTCGCTCTTTCACCACGTTTCTTGGATCTTGACAGTTTGTGGCACAGATGTGTTATAGTGAGAATGGGATACCTAATCAAAATGCTCAACAGCTACCTCAAAAATAGGTTGAAGCCGACCAGCACAGAGCTGCCTAGGCGGGGGTCCTTGGGCTACTTTTATCCCCAGTGCTAATTAACATTCTCACTAATGACGTCTTCAAGTTAACTCACCGACCTATTCGAGTGCTTTATCAAGATGGTTGCCAAGAAAAAAAATTCTTACCCGTTCTTATTTTTGCGGAGCACTCTGTTAGTTTTTCAAAAGTGAATAGTTATGTCGGGACACGGCAAACACGCAACCGTGCCCATCAACCAGCTCGTTAGACCACCAGACAACGCCACCGTCGTCCGTAGCCGAAAATTAAGCCAGATCCGCAACACCTCCATCTGAAGATCCCGATCCAGATCCGGAGAAGAGGAACTTCGTGAAGGCAACATCAGACTGAGAGCGTTTAAAGCTGACTATGACAACATGTCCGTGGAGAAGGATCAGTTTAAGGAACAAAACTTCTCTCGAAAAATTGAACAACCTAAATCTCAAAAGAACAGCAATAACTTAAATTCTACAATTATCGAGCTTAACTCAAAAACTTCCCTATATTATCGCCAAATTAAACAAAAAAATCAACCAAGTCCAATCATTTCTTAACAGTCAAATCAATCAACCAATTCTAACTAATACTGGAACTGATGATGAGGTGCTGACCCTTGGGCAGCGTAGTGGGGACCCAGTCCATCCGAATCGGCGACATTTTTGGCCGATTCGGACATGGAGTCCGACTCTGGCTCCGCTGCTGAAAGGAGAGCCTTCACCACGGTAGAAGGTACAAAAAATAAGAGGAGGAAAAAACGGCTCACTCCTGATACCGACCAGCCCGTCCCCAAAAACACCCGAAATTCTAACCACCTCTTCCTAACAATCTCTTCACTTTCCTCCACTTTCCTCCCAGCACCAATATGCAACCCCCATCAATCCCACCAAACCACCCAACACGCCAAAAACCTCTACAAACCCTCCCACCAATAGAAACCGAGTTCCCCGTATTTCTCAGAGACAAGGCCAAATACAACAGTATATGTATTCACATTGAAAGTGCCGAGCGACTAAAAAGCGGTAAGCGTTTTCGAGGACGAGAATACCGGTGCAGGTCGCCTCTTATCTAAAGTCACAAAACCTTCTCTATGCTTAAAACGTCTCGGAAGGCATCAAAATCCGATGGGCGTAAAAGCTAAAGACAATTTTAAAAGCCATACTGGAGCTGTTACCAGAATTTATGTTTAAAAAGATGAAAAATATCTTGATGATGAAGAAAATAATGAGGATGAAATCTACTGTACAGGGTGATTCATTAAGAATGGCACTCGGCCATATCTCAAAAACTATTCATCGTAGTTTTGTCGGAAAAAAATTATCCCATAAAAATGGCCAAGAGAAAATGCTGGAAATATATTTCAGCTTTCTGAAATGACCGTAAGGGGGCGTAACCCAACTGTCAAAGAACAAAAATGGTTTTATTTTTTAAATTTCAAATAGAAACGTATCTCAAAAATGCTAGCAATAGATTTTTGATGAAATTTCACACAATTTTGATTTATGACTTTTTACCATAACTTACCGGATAAGATAGTTATGAGCTGTCAAATATTGCAACTTAAGAACACGAATAACTTCAAAACGACTCAACGAATTGGGTCGATCTTAGGTTCGTTGGAAAGACAAGAGTCTGTTCTTTAATTTTGTTGTTAGTAGGACTGGCGCTATGGGTCAATATTCGAAAACAATTGAATGTTTCCAATTTTTCTTAAAATTTTCAAATAGAACGGTATATCTAAGATATGTTAAATCGATTTTTGAGGATGTTTTACATAGCGTTTCTTTATTATACCTTCCTACAAACGAATTCCAGAGAGTGTTAAAATTAATTTTATTAAAAATAATCAGTATTTATGATAAAGCCCTCGTAAATTGAGCAGATACCAGTTAAGTATGTCAGGCTGACACATTTTTGAAACTTCAAACGCCGCTATTTTCTAAAGTCAAAATGCATTTCTCAAATGGAGAAGCACATGACATCCTTGAGGTTCTGCATGAATGTAATGGAAATGCAGCAATCGCAGCCACTGGAATCTAATTATTTTGAAAATGGACAATGCTTATAATAGTTATTTATGTATCAAGGGTACTAAGTAGATGATTATGCCCTGAGGACGACAGTCTTACAAAGCCGAGGGCCTCTGGCCCGAGGGTTCGTCAGTCGCCCGAGGGTATATAAATCTATTAGTACCCGTGGTGCATACAAACTTTTATGTCATACCAGTTGGTTGTCAATAATAAATACCTGGGAAAAAAGTGTCACTTCGCAAATTGTCATCAGCGTGCAAACATCATAATTTTTTGACAAAAATAATATGTTCATCAGCGTAAATTTATATTTTGTTAATAAAGAATAAGTCAATTGAAAACTGTTTTTTGCGTCTTTATGCCCGCGCGGGCCATAATGTGTACTTTATGCCCGCACGGGCATAAAGTAATGAATTATGTAGATGGTATCTAAGGTATAAAAACACAATAATGTATTGGTATGACATAAAAAAAATAATAGACTGGTTTTGGTTTATCTCTGTTAGTATTTAACAGAAAGAGCAGAATGAAAAATGAATAAATCCACAGTACGCGGGTGCCGAATTTATGCGGAAATGACGTCTAGATTTTAATTTCCAAAATTATTAATAGATGGCACCACCACTTGAGTAGTTTACTATTCTCAAAATAAATATGTCTTTCTTCTTCAAGTTTCGTATCCTACAACATGCTCGTGTCTTAATGGCTATCATTACATGATCATTGCATAATCAAGTCTGTTTTTTATTTAAAGATAAAAGTCAAAATGACATTATGTTGGCAATACAATGTAAAATTGTCAATGCTTTCAAATTTTTTTATGTAGAAAAGGCTTGTGTTGCCAACATAGTTACTAAATTTTTCACTTGGGGAATTATCTTTTAAAGAAAAAAACAGACTTTATAGTTACTATTATAATTCCCTGACGCACTTTTTCCATTATTTGACATTCATCAATGATGACAATCAGCTGTCAGAAAAGCGAAGTCATTATTTACGAGGGCTTTTTCATAAATATTGATTATTTTTGATAAAATTAAATTTAACACTCTCTGGAATTCGTTTGTAGGAAGGTATAATAAAGAAAAACTGTGTAAAACATCCTCAAAAATCGATTGAACATATCTTAAATATACCGTTCCATTTGAAAATTTCAAGAAAAATTAGAAAAATTCAATTGTTTGCAAATATCCACCCATAGAGTCAGTCCAACTAACTTAAGTTGGACTTTTTTACAACAAAATTAAAGAACAGACTCTTGTCTTTCTAACGAATCTAAGATCGACCCAATTGGTTGAGTCGTTTTGTTATTCGTGTTCTTAAGTTGCAATATTTGACAGCTCATAATTATCTCATCCGATAAGTTATGGTGAAAAGTCATAAATCAAAATTGTGTGAAATTTCATCAAAAATCTATTGCTAGCATTTTCGAGATACGTTTCCATTTGATATTTAAAAAATAAAACCATTTTGTACTTTGACAGTTGGGTTACGCCCCCTTACGGTCATTTTAGAAAGTTGAAATATATTTCCAGCATTTTCTCTTGGCCATTTTTATGGGATAATTTTTTTCCGACATGACTACGATGAATACTTTTTGAGATATGGCCGAGTGCCATTCTTAATGAATCACCCTGTACACAGGCTTCCAATGAAACCAATAAAGAATCAAATATCGAGAAAGACAAAGATTCTGATGGGGAATCCGAAAATAAGGAAACAGAAACTGACGTGAAAGGCAAGCCTAAAAATACCACAACAAGTTATGAATATTACTCAGATGAAATAGATGAAGACTTAGCTCCTCCGACTTCTTTTTACAACGACAAAAATAAATATGAAGATATATACAATCCTTTTGAAGATCATCAATTTGACTTTGATGAATTTTTGGAAAAGCTTGGTTCTACCACATCAACAACTACTACCACTACCACCACAACAACCACTACAACAAATAGGCCTAACGAAAAAAAAAATCTCCGTTAAGGCAAGAATCCCGACCCATCGAAGTAAACAAGCCTAAGCCTAAACCAAAAATGAATAATTTTGGAAATTATCAAGTAACTCCTATGCCAAATATGCATTTTAAGCTAGTGAAAAATAACTTATGTGAAGACTACTATGATAATGATGACGACTCACAAAGTAGAAAAATATATTCGAGTAAAATTAAACCTGGCGAAGCTCCTGAAACTCCTGTATCTTCCGATGAATATGGATACTACTATGAAGAATATGATTATCCAAAATTGGATAAAAGAAATAGGTAATTAACCGGTCAAGTCTCCTCAATTGGAAACTGTAAAGTACTCAGCTAAGTATCAAGAATCAAAAAATGGTGACAGAGGGAAAAAACTCTAATACTGCTCTGCAAAAAAATGGTCAGTACTTGATTGAAACAGCGATATCATCCACAACAGCAAAATCCAAGATACGACCGGTAACGATGAAACCTATAATTAGTCCTGATAATAGTAGCAGAGAAAAGTATAATCATTTATCAGGCACTGGACAATTTTCAATCGAAACGTTGGCGCTAACAACGACACCAAAAATAAATACACCGCCAGCCAAAAAAGAACTACAGTACGACCTATCCAGAAATAGAAACAAAAACAAGAACATACTACATTGCGACTTTCATCAATATCTAATTAAGGCAGCACGATTTGATACTAGGTTCGGTGTAAACCAGCCCAACCCAAAATTTACCACCTGAGTCAATTTCTGCAATATTTGATGTTGATGATCGCATTCTTATTGGAGGCGATCTGGACGAGAAATCTAGACCAGGATCACCAACACAAGCGGTATGCGCATGAACAATCTTGCGGATGCTTTTATTTATACAACTATTTCGCCTCACGAACCTGCTCATTTTTCCTCTCGGGCACTCTCCGAAACTTTGGACATTTTCGTCGCAAAAAACACCCATTTAATCTCAGAGTTCACTGGCGTCATTCATGAGCTGACCTCTGACCACCTCCCAGTGGTCGTCGAGTATGGAAACCCAAACCTTGCATCACAAGGCTTCACAGAAATAAATTACATAAATTGGGCTCGATACCGAGGATTGCTAGGGGAAGTCGACATCTAATTAAATTTTCAACACTGACAAGAGAGATCCACCTGGCTTTGGCTATGTCCACTATGACGAAGATGTCTAGACTTACTTAATATGGAATCCTGTCCCCCACATAGGTCATAGATGCCATCCGCCTAAGAAATCGTATTTGGAAAGGGCCTGTCAGAATGACGACCCGGCCATTAAGAGGCACGCAAATCGCCTCTCCAACAACATACGCTCGCTACTTAAAGAGCACTACTATAACAACAATTTTAGAAGGCACACATCTGAAATTTCGACGGATGACAATTCCGCATTTAAAACCACAAAACATTTAATTAGAGGCGCCCGTTGCCCGCTTCCAAATCTGGAAGTTGACTACCGGATTGTGTGCTTTCCGAGCGAGAAAGCCGAGTTGTTTGACCCCCAATTTTTTAGTCCAGTTTCGTGAAGACCCAGTGCAAAATCCTGCAAAAGAAAACTCAATCAATTTAACGTGCAAAATTCAGGAGGGCACGCCTTACAACCCTGACTTTGTCACTGTCGCCGAGGTGGGGAGTATCCTTTCAGAATTAAACGTCAAAAACTCAAAAAAGCCCGAGGTCTGGATGCTGCTCCCAACAAAGCATTAAAAAACGTCCCCAAAATCATTTTCGGCCATATAGCTAACGCCATTTTTTCTCTCGGCCACTTTCCCCTCTCGTGGAAGGAGGCTGAGGTCATTCTGATTAGAAAGAGGAGTGAAAATTCCAAACACATTTCTTCCTACAGATCCCTTAGCCTCCTCTCAAACATTGGTAAGGTAGTTGAAAAGGTCATTCAGGGACGTTTAAGGGAGCACGTCGAAATTAACAACCTTCTCCCCTACGAACAACTGAGATTCGTTTCTGAATTGCGAACAGTGAACCAGACCACACGCATGGTTTCAAAAAGTCTGAAAGGGTTCAATAGGAGGCACCACACCGAAGTCATCTATTGGGACATTGCTAAAGCTTTCGACAAGGCAAGTTTTGCCATAGCAAAGGGCACTTATTATCGAAATAATAAGGCTTGCCTTCCCCAAGTACCTCACTAAAACCATCAACAGCTATCTCCAAAATAGGAGGTTTTTAGTAGAGGCCGACCGGCAACGCTCACATAAGGGCGGGGGCCCCCAAGGCTTTCCCCTCTCTCCAATTTTGTTTAACATTTTTGCCAGCGACATCTCGAAGAGTATACATACAGCTCTTCTTCGCGGACGATACCCCCATCCTCACATCAGCTAATTGCATACGAATTATGCTAGTAAGAGTTAACAGGCCCATGTCTGAAATAGAGAGATGGATGGCGGATTGTAGAATAAAACTCATTCCTGCGAAGACTAGAGCTATCATGTTACTCGTCAGCCAATATTAGACCACAGGCTGAATGTTGCCAGTACGCCAATAAACAACAAAACCTGGGCCTTACCTTTAACAGGGGTCTGCACTGGGCAGAAAACACAGTAGCAATTGTGGCGAGGGCGAAGGCACAAATTGCTTGTTAATACCCCATTTTCAACAAAAACAGCCTTCTTTTCATTAACAACAATATCACTCTTTGTAAATCGATGATCAGATCAATAATCAGCTATAGGGTGGCGACCTGGGTCACCAGTGCGGCGACCCATAGGTACAAGATTCAGAGAATTCAAAACAAAGATCTAAAGATCATCGTGGACGCGCGGAGGTACACCCGAACTCAAGTGCGATGGTCATCATATTACAATTGAGCAATTTGTCGCCAAGCTCTTGACCAATTACTACCAAAAAGCGGACGCCAATCTGATCCTCCTCGTCCGTGATTCTCACACTGGCTCCAAGCCCCAAGATAAGTACCCCCTCCCCAGAGACCTATTAACCCCACAATAAAACCCACGTTTTGACGTTTTTCCCTAATATGACACTAATTTAGAGGTCCTCATCCTTAATTTTCATTTTTCATAATTTATATTTTTGTTTATCATTCAGCTCACTTTTAATTAAAAAGTTTAATAGTTCGCCCTTGTACTAAACTAAATACACGATGAGATCCAAAGTACAAAGGACTGTGGGACATGCTGTATATCACTCCCTGAAAGGCACATGTGTGAATTTCATAAATGGATAACGGACTGAAGAATTGCGCTGAATCAGGCAAAGACGAGGGATGTGATATTTACAAGTGGAAGACCCTCAATCGACAGAGGGCTTAGCGTGGCTGGAAAACCTATTGAATAATCTTACGATCTACTATGAGCCAAAGAGAATGTTGGTGAATTGGGCAATTATCTCTGTTAAACATGAAATTTTAGATGGTAATATTCATATAAAACAAATCACAAAAACCTTTCCTGAATTTCCAAAAACTGTAAGCCGGCACCTAGGACAAAAGCTGCTAGAGAGCGCTGATACGTGATACGACAGCTGTTCAAGTGCTGCAGAACATTCTGGCCGACCTACCATAGGACATGGGGTAACATGAATGTCGTTCCCATCCAACTGGGTATCTGAGAGAGCTGGAAAAACTTAAATCTCCTCTCTCAGAATTCGAGCTTTACGAGATCATGGCAAATATAGAGGTGCAGTACGCGAAGGAGGGGGAGTTTTAGAGCAAATTTTGTGATAAAATGATAGCCGCGACGGGTCTCACTCAGAGACAGGTGAGAAGTAGAAAAGCCTTCCTATAAGAAGTACCTTGAGCAGGCAAAAGCGAACCGGGTGAGGTTTCCTGGGGCCGGGTTCACTGCCAACAAACCTACTTCTTTTACTGATACCCTAGTAGATAGTCCTCTTTCACCTCGCATGGAAGGCTCATCCATTAGCAGGTTGAACTAGACGTAGCAGCTACGCACAAAGTCCGAGGTGAACTTACCTTGGTGCATAATCTTCCAGCCCAAGCGTCACAGGTCCGCAACCGTGCTTCGCATTCCGACTTCTCCTAGCAGGAGCGATCCCGGTGGATTACTAGGACCAAAGATCCTCATCCGGCTGCGACTGTGCTAAAGACTCCGTAGCTAAAGGACGGGACAGAGCACCCCAAGGTCCACTTCAACCAACTTCAACGGACTAACTCGCCTTTACTCGCGGGTTGGAACGAGCCCGTGAGCGCGGCGCAGTGTTACCAATGTGTGAGCATTTGCTCACATTTGTGAGCATTTTATAGATCGGGGGGTAAAAATGGGAGCATTGGCAAGATGTGAGCATTTTGTGGGCATTATTGGCATTTATTAACTGAAAAAATTAAATTCGTCACAGCACGAGTCCACGATAGCCATGTCATAACTCGTGGCATATGGCATAGCAAAGACCAAGCGCCTAACTTTTTAGGAAAGAATTATGTATTTCACGTCACGTGTCAAGATTGTCAAGAGGCCATTTTAGAAACGCTGATTCCATCCAAGGATGACACACACTCACTGCTATAGTCGTATTCACGATAGAGTTTGAATTTTGACCATTATTTTCACCAGTTGAAAATAAATAAAATCCCCAGATCGGGGGATTGAATTTTTGTGTAAAATCGTTCAGTTTTTTGCCGTTTTCTGCATTATTTTTTTATTTGTTATTATCGCAATCGGTTTTTTGGTTTTTTATTTAATTTTCTGTGCCTTTGTGTTTCGGTGTTGCGTTTCAAGCCTGGTTTTAGTTTGGATTTAAGTGTTTACTCTTTTTATAAGTGTTTACTTTGGACTCTAATTTTTGAATTTTTGGATTTTAATAACTTAACTTATATCACTTTTCTAAATACGACCCTGTCGTTTATCCCAGCTGACGGAATCGAAGCACTAACGCATGCTGGCAACCTAAAGAAAAAGTTTACTAGGAATGTCAACGCGAACTGTCAACTTCACTTTCTATCGTGATTACGACTATAACTACAGGATGGCCTATTCGCATAAGGCCTGTGTGTAACCAATCCCCCCACGCCAAAATACCAGTTGTGGCGTAGACAGAATGTCATTTGCATTTCTTGCCTTGACGTAGGCTGACAGCTGACGACTTAGTTATGACGTCGGAAATGGTATCACACCAATATGGCGGCGATTACCAAAAACGAGGCTGATAAGCACTCCTTATACCCCATTCTCACTTGCGCGAAATTCGCTCTTTTTTGACATTGCATCGAAAAATTGACGTTTGATACACGCATAAAACGTCAAATTGTCGAAGATATTCCCTCGTTTTTATTCTAATATCGGTGACTTCACCGATGAATTAGCTATCTTCGTTTAGTGAATGGAAAATGACAATGACCGACATAGAATGGTGGATCCATCGGTAAAATTTGATGAGAATAAAAACGCAGGGAATGTCAAAAAAGAGCGAATTTCGCGCAAGTCGGAATGAGGCATGCGGCGAGTCAAATCTTGCTGCTAAGAACTGCTGAGAGGCTACTGGTAATCTTGTCAATGTATAGATTTCAGGTATAGATAGCAAACCTAGGGTTAGCACAGATAATCAGAAGGGTATTGTAGGTACCATCGTCACCAAAAGTACCTGGGACAGCATCACATTAGCTCTTGTCCTATTATATGAATTTTATTGTCAAATATTTGTCAAACTATGCTTTAAATGCATTGGAATGAATGACAGTAGAATTAGTCCAGGAGATTATTATGCATTATTTGTGTCCCAGATACTTTTGGTGACGATGGTACATACATTGTATCGGTTATAGGTGAGTCAGGACCTATTTATTATTCAACGCTCATGTGGATAATAGTAGATTATACCACTAGTCAATAATGATAGCTATTATTCCCGAGGTATATTTACGAACTGAGCCGCGTTAGCGGCGAGGGAGTAACATTCCGAGGGAATAATAGCCATTATTGCGAGTAGTATACTCTACTTTATTTACGACAAATTAATTTATTTGAAATTTTCTTTCCAAAAATGCTCTTTGTTCATCCATCTCAATACAAATAGGTACACAAGCACTACGCGTTTCACACTGACACTTTTGAATTTGTTCTATACTGTTTCCATGGTACTACCCACTGATTTAATTTGAAAAATTTTGTGATTGTTGTGCAAGCGGGAATAATGACCATTAATCCCTGCGGGAATAATAGATGTCATTAAACTGCCAAAATCACAATTATAATACTTACATTATATGTCAGTCGTAAATAAAAAGTTATTTCTGACTACTCTAATGGGACTTGGGACTCGAACTAGAAGTACGCGACACTAATAAGATTGAAAGCGAAATATAAAATGCAATAAGTTCAATATTTTTGCCCTATCGATATGTTGCTTTACTACATTTTGCGCTTTGGGTATTTCGGCTTCCGATCTTATATATATATGCCAAAACTTTTTGACTGCCATTTGTATTGGGCAGTTGAAATTCCTTTGGAATATTTTCATATTAAGAACTGCAATTTAAAAAAAAAATCGGAATTTTCCTATAAAAACTGTGTTATAACTTTAGATACTATAAGACTTTTGTAGAGCTATCCAGGGTCCTTTAAGATTCACCTAGCCACGTCTAAGCTGTAACAACCTGTCTTTGAATACCTAATAAACGTGTTTGTTGTCCTTCACTGTATTATTTTTCTTGTAAAACATGAAATTTATGCTGCTTTAAAAATGACATGCACTGTATAAACTGCACATTTTGCTGTGATTCACGAGCTGTTTTTTATACTTAGTGGTTAACTCGAGGAACAATCATATACTTGCATTATTTTTAGATTATAGCCGCGCTTTTCTACCTTTCAAATTTCCTCTAGTTAGTTTAGACTGGTGCCAACGCGTGCACAAACTATACTATTTTCTACTCTTGTAAAATTGGCTTTCCTATAAAAATAGTCTTAACAATCACTGAATTCGTGATATTCTAGTGAGACAACAATATACAAAACTTATTATCTAGCCTAAGTAAAAACTTTTTGTATTTAAAGAAATTCTTCCTATATTCATCTTAGAAATGGTTGTTTTAAAAATATTAAGTGATTTTTAGAATATCTTATAAATAATAAGCGACTTTTAATTATACAATTTTTGCCTGCTTTTGTAAATTTAGTCGCATATTTACCAATAATTTCTTTCCTGTAAATGCTTTGTATAGAACTTCTTTAATAACTAATTAACCTTGACGACGATACATATACTTATTATAGGAATATTGTTAAATAAATGAGATGTTTTTATAATTATTTAAATAATCGATTGTTGATTGTACATAGTATAAATACATTAAAATTTGTTGTCAATTTATTGTTTTATTGTATTTATACCATTGAGTTATACCGGTATACCACTCACTAATATTCTCAAAAGTCTAACGAAGGTTTTATTAAACAGGAAGATTGTTATAAACCTGTATTATATTGAAGAAATTGTGTGAAGACGTTATTGAATTTTTGGATTTGGGCTACTTCCGGAATACTAGGAACAACCCTAGGGAAAAATCCTCGCTCTTGTCAAAAGGACAAACAAAACGAGGGTTTGCTATTCAGTCAAATGAATATGCATTACAAAAGAAGCTGCATGCAAACTTGGTTAGCGGCAGATTCATTTGGCTGACTGCTGACTTTTTCTAGAAATTGGGGTATTCATGTCAGGCAGGCGTGTCCTACCAGTCCCATACCAATTTCAATTACACAAGTCTTTTATCATGGAGTCCTTGCCCAGCCCATTCTGAGGAGCTATGATTTTATTTCATGGAATATTCAAATTTCATTAGTCACTGTATAGCTATCTGTTCTGATGCGGTATTCAGTTGTGTCGGGTTCGCAAGTTGTCGGAGCCAGGCGCATTATTGGAGATCTTCCCTTGGTTTGGGCAAAGTTTACGTTTGCGTCTACTTCTTTCCATCATTTTATACTTTTGAGGTTTGTGTTTCTTCCTTATCAGCTGTTTCGTTCCACTGCTCATTCCGCATACCTATTTCATTATTTTCATTTGTCTCGAACTCCGTTAGAATATTTGTCGTAACTTGCGTTTTCTGGTTCGAACCATGCTTTTGCTTTTTTCGATTTGAACTTTCCAATTACTTTATCAGCTGGGCTCATGACTATTCCAGAGCTCTCTTATGTCATACGGTCCTAGCTGCTTATCAAACTCTTGCGTCATTTGAGAACATAACGGCAAGTGACTTTATTTCTTACAAAAGCCATGCTGATCCTATGAGGGAAGAATTATAATACACATCATGAACGTTATCAATATTCAAGATCAGCAATAATTCTTAATAATAATAGGTAGGTACCATTGTACCACCATGTCGAACTTTGCTCCCTTTCCAGACTTCATCACTGAGGACTTAGATGCATTAAATATAGAGACGTATCGGCCTACCTACTCAACTAATCCATCACCAGAGGCCGTTAGAAACGGCACATCTGCAAGAAAAGTATTAAACTTTGGTTGTGATGCCAACGATGACGATAATATAGAGCACATGAGTTTCAATAAAAATTGTGATTAAATATCTTTAACAGCGAGGACTTAAGTGTAGGTACGATCATACATTGCGTTTTTGCTGCTGCGGTAGAAACGGTGCGGCCTACCGCAATACATATAGGTAAAACGTGTGCTTTTCAATTGTTCTGATCACATACGCGTTTCTGCCGCGCTTGTTGCGTGACACACTGTATAAGTATTAATATACCGCGATTCTCCCATTTGAGAAATGTTTCAAGGGGGATATGTTCTGTGAGTCAGTCAAATATTATATGAGGTTTGATTGTACACGCTCATAGAATAAAGCTCTTAATAAACTCTTCTTTTACATAATATAATACAACATGGTGGCAGCGGTAAAACCAAGCTAGTATTTACATAATCTATAAATTTTGCTTCTGGAGACCTTTCAAGAGCATGCATGGCAGAGGATATTGTCGGAGAATCTATTGTGGTGGCCCATCCAGAAAAATTCGACTTCAGCAATCCAGTTGGATGGTCTCAGTGGTTTAAAAGATACGAGAGGTACATGTCAGTCTCTGGGCTCTCAAGTAAGCCTGAACAAGATCAAATTGATTTCTTCTTGTACATAATGGGAGCAGAGAATGAAGACATTTTAATTCAGTTTCCTACAAAACCAGTAACTTTTGAGTTTATGAAAAAAGCTTCTACGGATCATTTTATTCCTCGTAAAAATATAATTTTTGAAAGATATCAATTTAATTCAAGAAATCAATTGCCGGGGGAATCCATTGAAACCTTCATAACTGCTTTGCATACCCAAGCCGAATAAGTGCGGAATAAGGCCGAACAAGCTGAATTTTTGCAGAGACCTTCATTTTGATGTTCTAATGAAGCACAAAAAAAAAATCGAATATGCCTACCCTTGTGCGTCTTGAGATATCGAAGGACAAAGGTCACGAAAATTGTGAAAATCTCGCTTCCATTGCATCTGACGTCGAAGAACCCAAGGTAAAACTCACGTAAAATAGTATTTTCTACAAAAT